TGGCATCTGCATGGCATGCCAGCGTACACATGTTGGCTACTTTAGCATCATGTGACAGACACGTGAATAATTATTATTATTTATTTATTTTAAAATATAAATATAAAATATAAAAATATAATATATATATATATAAAATAAAAAATATTCACATGTCCACCACGCGGTATGGCCTTTAATAATTTATACATTACAATTTTTAATTATATTTTTTATTTTTATGTTTTTATTTTTTATAATAAATAAAAATTATCTATGTATCAATCATGTGGTGCTAAAAAATAAAATAAAAATAAAAATTAGAAATTAAATAAAGAATAAAAATTATCCACGTGACGAACACGTGTCCGCCACGTAGCGCTGACCTTGCCTACATGTATCCGTTGGCATGCCACATAGAAAGTACATAAATAAGTTAATGATGTGAGAGAAATTGTTTATGATAAATTGTGTATATAAATAGTAGTGGTATATTTGTAAATAAGTGTAATAATATATACAAATTAAAAAACAGGTAAGAATTATTTGTTATAAATAAATATATATATATATATATACATTTTTTATGGACAAAAAAAAAAAGAAAAATAAATAAATTTGATTGATGGAGTGATAAGTACTATTTATATTTTTTTTTCACTCATTAATAAATTATCTATTTTTTTATTTTGGTCCGTTTAACAATAAAGTATCTATTTATTTTTTTAATAACCATACTATCTACTTAACATTACAAATATTTTTTTAATTTATAAAATATAATACAAATGTCATTATTTTTATATTATATATATAATACTAATAAGGTTAATTTAGTTTTTTTTTACATTTATTTCTACAATATCATAATATAATACTAATATTTTTAAAATTTCGTGCAAAAAGAAAAACAAATGATTAGATAGATATAGGAGCAAGGAAGAATAACAAATTTACATTGAAGACATATATTAAACACAATACATTAGGATAATAAAAATATGTATACATCACAATCAACAATCTAACCTTGAAGTATATGTAAATTTTTTTTTTATATTTTTGTTATTTATATTTTATATATAAAATAATAATATTTAATTGTATATTTATAATTAACGATGTTTATATGTTAATATTAGGATCACTTTTAATATAATAATATATGTACTTTTGAAAAATAAATATATATATATATATATATGAATAAGACCAAAGAGTAGTTACTACTCTTGTCCCACATATATCATATTTAATGTAGATACAAGATTTTAAGTGTGAAATAATTAGTAAATAAATAAATTAATAAAAGTGATACAATAATATAATATAATTAATTATAATTTAAAATTAAAATAACTCATCAGTATAATCAAAAAGAAAATTATAAAATTTAATCTTTTTCTTAAATAATTAAGAGAGGAGACGTGCAACGGATTGAAACATCGCCATAGACAAGAAGATGTGCAATAAAAGTAGTAAAAAGAAGCCAATCCTAAATTGTGCACTAATCAAGGGTCAATGTTACTGTCGACAAAGGCATTCCCATCTTCAACCAATAATATAAAACTAGTAACCTTTTTTTTTTTTTATCATTATTTTATTCAATTATAGATTCATAAAATTCTATTTACGCTTTTGCCATTATTCACAGATTCCCCCCCCCCCCCCCCCCCCTTTTTTTTTACTTAAATTTTAAAAATATTACTGATATTTTATGCATCATAAGTAAAAAATAAGAGTTATTTTTTCAAAAATATTTTTGTAAATACATTAAAAAAAAATAGTAACCTATTGATAATGTAAGTGAAATTAAACATTATTATTTTTTATTATTTGAATAGGATCGATTTGATTTTTTATAGATTTGAGAGCAATAAAAATAAAAATTCATACTCCCTCCGTTTCAATCTAATAATCTTGTTTATCATTTTTGTTCGTCCCAATACAATAGTCTTATTTTCATAAATAATCATATCACCATAAAACTATCCCTATTTTTTTTTTATTACACAATTGTCACTACTTGTTACACTAATACACTCACAAGGGCAAAAAGAATTTTATCCATACTTTTTACCAACTACCAATATAATATAAATATTCCTTAAATTCCGTATACAATCCAATTAAGATTATATTTATGGGACGGTGGGAGCATTATAGTGATCAGCTCTGAATTTGATACAAATCTAGTAGTGAATACATGAGAAGAAATAAGAAATAAAGATTTAAAATGAATATACATTTTTTGTTCGGATTCTATGTATTTGTTTATTTTTTACATGTAAATAATATTATTCTCTACTTACTACGTCCATATTTTAATTTTTGTTTGTCCTATTTATTCTATTGCTTTCTTTTATGAAATTATTATAAATTTTAAGTTTATTTCAAATTTTTTAATTTATAATTTCTTAAAATTTAGTTATACTAATTAATTATTTTATCTTAATTTAAAATAATTTTTATTAAATAATAATTATTTTCACTAATATATTTTTAATTATTTATTAATTATTTTTTTAGTAAATAACAACATGAAAATATTTTTAAAAGAAAGGAAAAGAAATAATAATAATAAACAAATGTTTAAAAACAAATGATGCATATATATATTTATAAATATATGTATATCTTATATATTTTTTTATAACGCATGAAAATTGTAAACAAACTCATATTTTATTTTATTTTTTTTCATTTTCTTGAATCTTTTTATTATTAAACTCTTATTTAAAAAGATAAATTCAATAATTATTTTATATAGATATTTATTTTAAAAATAACTATAAAAAATGTGTTATTTAATAAAAAATTTAGTATAAATTTTAATATTTTTATTAAAAATAACATATTTTTATATAAAAAAAAAGTATTTTTAATATATTTGTCTGTTTGTGGTTTGAAAGTTATTTAAAATGATGCGTTAATTTGAGTTTTTATATAAATAGTATTGGTTGACTCTCTGTTTGTAAAAAATGAATAGTATGTATTCCTAACAATTTGAACTTTTATGTGAGACTGTCATTTATATCATTTAATATGGTATCAGAGCCCTAGTGCCGAGTATTGATTCTTATTAGGATTTCGAGATTATCATCTCGGAGGAGTGTTAAATATTGTCACACGTAGAAAAAATCTCAGAACATTATAGGGTGAATGGTTACACCACTTAACACCAAATAGTTTTTTGGAACTTCGGATCCTTCTTGACATGGTATTATCTAATAGTTTAAACTTTTAGGTAAGACGATCATTACATCATCTAACAAATAGTTTTTTATGTGATATTTTATGAAAAAACTAATATTCTCTCCGTCCACTCACAAACTATACATATTTCTATTTTGAGTTGTTCAATTACAAAGTAATAATTTCATTAAATACACCATTTTTTCACAAAAACTCATATTTTACCATCACATAATTACTTTTACACGAAAAAACAAAGGTAAAATTGTACTTACACTATTTTTAATTATCCACTGTAATTAAAATACTATTATTTCTTAAATTTCGTGCCAAAAATAAATATTTACTTTCAATTAGACGGAAATAATATATTTTTATTGAAAATTGTACGAACAGAATAATATAGATTTGTATTTGAAATAATAAACAAATAATTTGAAATTATAACTTCATCTACTTCACAAATTCGAATATCTTACATCGTTGAATAATTATATATTTCATATTACATTTGTATGTACATTATATACAATTTTAAGAAATTAAATTCCAAATTTAGAATAATAAATTAATTTTACAACCAAATATGGCCTTCAAATAAGATTAATATGTAACTATTATCTCAATTTAATTTAAACTGAGAAAACAAAAAATAGAAGGTTAAAACACTTTGGTAAAAGAACCAAACAAAAGTTTATAGAATCTTTAAGATTTAATTAGACTATTTACATTCACTTTTATAACAAGGAAATTGCAAATGAAAATTTAAAATAAAAACTAATAATAGTTAAAATTTTCATTACATTATTTAATTTATTTTGCTAAATAAAAATTAAAATGTATAATTTTGACATATAAATGAAAAAAATCAAAATTGAAGAAATTTTTAACTCTAACAGCAGTGGCAATGACTTTCTTGTTGCCTGAGTTGTCATGCTGCAAGGTTTCAAACAAAGAAGATTTGGATCTTTTGTCTCCCATGTTCGTCCGAATCGAGATTAAAATATAAAAATTAACTCGCAAAAAAATACGATTGTATTTCTATACATAGCCTTCCACATGGCCGTGTCCACACCAGGCCGTTCGTAATTTTTATATGACCCGGGACGAAATTAAAATAATGGGCTCTTAAATATATATATATATTTTATATTAATATAATTATAAAAAATAATATATAAATATTTTTAAATTTAAATTTAATAATAAAATTAATTTTTTAATATATTAAAAGATCAAAATATCAAAACTTTTATTTAGTATTTTTAATTTGTAAGTGTTTTTATATTAAATATAAGAGGTATGTTAATAATAAAAATAATATTTTATAATGACGTATTAAATTTTTATTAATATTAGTAACAAAATGTGTCAAAAAAATTATTGAGACAATGCAGTAAATAATCTAACGATTTATTTTGTTATGTTTAGTGATATTTTTGTGTATTTTTAGGAAAATAAAAATTTTAAATAATAAAAATATTCATATATTTTAATATTTATATAGTACATGATTTTTAATGGTATTACAAAATATTAATATATAATATTCAACATTAAATATTATACGATAAAATAAAAATAACAAAAGCCCAAATAAAAGATCATATTATCTATAATACATATAGGATTCCATTATCTCAAAATAAATATACCAAATATTATAAATATTAAATTAATATACTATAAAAAAATATAAATACACACATTAGTAAATTAATTAAAAAAAAAACAAATTATTATCAAAATAATTTATTTTTAAAAAATTATTATTATTATTATTATTATTATTATTATTATTATTATTATTATTTTGACAACAAACAGCTTTCATTAATATAATAATTACCCCTGACACAATCTACTAGCAAACAATATTCCCAACATCCCCTAAAGCATGAATCTGCTATGGCTACTAGCAACTTCCACGCCCACTTCGTCACCTGAAGCTACCGAATCCGTCCAAGCAACCAAATACGGACACCTTCGAGCCCCTATTTTAGCCAGACCATCTGCGAGGCTATTTGTTTTTCTCTAAGAATATGAGTTATATATGTTTGATTACAATTATTGATAGAGGTAAAGATGTCCTCAATGACCTCTACGGATACTGCGACTTTTTCAGGATTCACGATACCAACATGGAATAATCATATTCAATAATAAGCCTCGGAACCGGGAACCCTACCGCCCCACGGATTTCCTCGAGCACATGATGAACAGCCTGCAACTCTGCTTCCGCTGCCTTCGATACTCTGATAAATTTAGAAAGCATGAAAATAATGATACCTGAGTCATCTCGTATTACCGCCCCGATCCCCGCATTCCCTGGGCAGCTTAGTGCCGATCCATCCACATTTATTTTCCACCATCCTCGGCTAAGGGGAAGCCACCGTTGGTTAGCCCGTTCCCCCAATCTTTTATTATTAAGAGTAACTTCAAGATTTTCCAAGCTACTTTTGGAATAATATCGAACTATAATCACTTCCCGGATTCTTAGCATTGAACCACTTCCATGCCACCCAGATCATCCTCGAAATTAGCCCATAGCTAGAAAGAGACTTACCTTGAAACACCAATTCGTTTTTTGAAATCCAAATGCACCAGAGAGCAACTGCACACAACAGTTCCCAAATAGTACGACGCGAAATACTCATTTGAAGGTATTTCCAGCAGTGTAGTAACCCCCGAACATCCTTCGGTATCGCCCAAAAAATGTTGAAACGCTCCGAAATCCACCACCACTGGACGGAAGCAACCTTACAATGGAGAAAAAGGTGGTCTATTTCTTCCCCCTCCACTCCACACAACGGGCACTCCACCCCTCCTGTAATTGTTAATCCCATTACTAATTCCATCCTAACCGGGACTCATCTATTAATTACTCTCCATATCAGAAACTTAGCTTTGGGTGGTGCCGTATTGCCCCAGATTATATCTTCCGATCTGAAACTACTGTCGACATCATACAAAACATGCCCACCTTCTTTTATGGAAAATTTTCCATTTCCCGATCCCTCCCACACTACCCTATCTTCAATATCCTTACGGGGGCAGGTAGAATTCAAAGAGGCTATGAATGCTTCCCACCATTCTACTTCCTAGTCAAAAACATTCCTACGAAGCTGGATCACCCAGTTCCAAACACCATCCACCCACTCATCAAAGGATGATACCCAAACTTCTTTCATCGTTGTCAACGCGAAGATACGAGGGCATTGATATTTTAAGGAAGAATTGCCAACCCAAATATCCTGCCAAAATCTAGTTTTCAATCCACTATCGAGGATTATTTTTAGGTAGCCCTTGGATATCGATCTCCTTTCAAAATCTGCCCATGATTTTCCAATATGATTCCAAAGCGATCCATTAACACTCCCATGATATGGAATCAACTTGGCATTGAACTCGCATTTAGATTATTTTGGATTATCAATTACTCTCTCCGTCCCAGGTATTTTGTTCCTATCACTCACTGTAGATAGGAGAATCTAGGTAAGGGTATAATTAGTAAATATAGGGGTATGTTTAATGGTATTGTTAGAATAATTAAGAAAAAAATAAAAATAAAATGGGAAAAAAAAAATTGGCAGGAGTCAGATCATTAATCTGAAAAGCTGCATACCTATAACATTTCACGTGGGAGTTTATTACAACAAAAATTAACACATCATTTTCCCACCAATTATACACCTAAAAATAATTTCCCAAAATTAACACAAGCCACAAGATTACTAATTGTTGAAATTAACATCACACATCATTCTCCCACCAAAACACAACCTAAAATTATTTCCTCCCAAACAAAATTACCCCTTAAAAAAAATTCTCATTTTTACCAAAAACATCACTGTCAACATTAACACATAATCAAAAAAATTCCCCCCATCAATTTTATACCTAAAAATATTCCCTCCCAATCAACACCTATAAATAAACCATTTAATACAACAAATTGTAATTTTACTCCCTCCTAAAATTTCACCCAAACATATTACAGAACTCAAAATGTCTAAACCCCCATTTATAAAGGAAGATCACATTAAACTTGTGGCATTTATTTATGTCAAATGCGATGTCTTGGGTCAGCCACAACGTGGAGTCTTTTTCGAAGCTGCAAGGAAATTTAATTGCAGTTATAAAACTGTTTCAAGGCATTGAAAATCAGCCGAAGAGAAGGGAGGTAAAGGAGAGGTTGTTCGTGCTGCAGCGATCCTCAATCATAACCCTAGCAAAGGGAATGCAATGCTTAAAGTCAACGGTGCATAGATGAGTTAAAGAAAAATAAATTCGAGCTCATACAAGTGCAATTAAGCCAGAACTTACCGAGACCAACAAACTTGCAAGGTTATGTTTTTTTTAACAAGCTCTAGATTGTTTTCAGTGCATTGAAAATGCACAATTTCAAAGTATGGAAAACATAGTTCATATCGATGAAAAATGGTTTTATATGTTCAAGGCTAGCCATCGATTTTATTTGACAACGCTAGAAAAGAAACCACACAAAACATGTAAAAGTAAAAATTTCATTTGTAAGATTATGTTTATGTGTGCAGTTTCTCGACCAATATGGAACAATGATAGATCTCTTTTGTTCGATGGAAAAATTGAGATATTTCCATTTACTGAAAAAGTTCCAGAAATGCGGTCAAGAGATAATCGTGTTGCTGGCACATTGGAAACAAAACCAATACAATCTATAACAAAAGAAGTTATAAGAAGTTGTTTGATTAATCAGGTTAGCAAATATTTTTAGTTTTCAACATCATTAAATGGTAGAAAACAAATTTTGGAAGTCTTCTACTCTCTTAATTAGAGTTGAAGACCCAACGTTTCTTGTCATTACTGTTGCATCTCATTCGATGGATATTTATAGCTCAAAAGATCTAATTAGTCTCCATTTCATTCTTTTGCAGATTATCCCAGCAATCAAAGAAAAGTGGCCACATAAAAAATCTAAACATATTTTTATCCAGCAAGACAATGCGAAACCACACATTAAGGGGGATGATGCAGAATTCATAAATGCTGCAACTACAGATGGTTTTCATATTGTTCTCATTCAACAACCTCCTAATTCTCCGGATATGAATGTTAACGATTTAGGATGGTTTCGAGCGATTCAAAGTTTACAAACATAAAAGACATGCAAGAATGTGGAAGAACTTGTTGAAGCAGTTATAACAAGTTATAACGAATTGACACCGGAAATGTTGAATAAGGTATTTTTAAGTTTGTAAAATTGTTTGATTGAAGTAATGAAGATAAAAAGAGATAACTCGTATAAACTGCCACATTTAAAAAAAGATAGTTTAGTCAGAAAAGGAAATATGCTAACACAACTGGTTGTTCCAATGGAGTTGGTTCACGAATGCATTCAATATCTTTTGGAAAAAGGATATGTGAATGGGATTGAAAAGGTAATGGTTGATTTAGGATATTAGAGATAGGAATATGGCTTAAACATATTTTTTTGTAAATGTTTATACTAAAGTAAGCCTATAACACAAATGTACAGGGTTACAATGTAAACATATCAGATGGCTTAAATGAAAATATTTTGATGTTTTTTTGTCTGATTCACTAATGCAACTGTAAATATCAAAAGTATTTAGCATTGAATGAAATGCAATGAAAAAACAAATGTATTTTTCCCTAATTTACCCAATTTGGCACTTAACAAAGTGAGTTGGTATGTGGAAATAAATTTCTATGAGTAGATGCTGAAAAATAACAACGAAATTGTGCCCAAACAGAGTACATAACAAATGAATAGCTACGGCGTAATTTGCAAAACAAAGCAGTGAGCATCACTGACATTTTTGCATTTATAAGTATAATTTTGAATCCAAAAATACTACCAGGGCATAAAAAAACTAATTCATGCTCAAAACACTTAATGAAGTCACGAATTGCATATCTACTTATTTCTTAACCTACAGATAATAGATAACCCACATATAAGTTCAACCAGTTTAGGTTTTAGGAAGAATCTCACCAACGTCCTTATGGAGGACGTAAATGCAATGGTAGCCGGAATCGGGAAGGGGTCGGGATGTAATTTTCATCATGCTCGTCCTCTGAATCGGGAACATAGCCCAACTTCTCCCAAATATTTCTATTTTCCGGTGACATCGAAGGACCGCCTTCACCCTCAGCGTCCTTCTCCGGTTGGAAAAGTGGACGTCGAGGAGTTGCTAGCCTTTGTCTGTGAAGTTCACTGGAGAAATCAACATCCAAGCCCAAGTCGAATGGTTCCTCCATATCCGGCACCCAACCTCTGTCACCGTCACTCGCCACCAACTCATACCCGGAGTTGCGATACAGATCGGAGGCAACTTCAACTCCGACCAGCGGGGGTGAATCGATCTCCCCTCCGACGGCCTTGTTCTGGATAGATCCATGGTCAGGAAGATGAACCACATTGAAAGAAAAGCCACAGTTAGGGCAAAGAAGACATGACTCACATTTAGGGTTTGGGAGGGACGGTGGCGCGAGAGCGACGGAGTACGGTGGAGGGGGAAGAGGGCGACGGTGAGCAGCGGCGAGAGGGCGACGGATTCCGGCGGCCTTATCCATGGCGGAGGAGGGAGACGACAATAGACTATAGCGGGTTTAACGGATTGAAGAAAATGAGAAGAGAGTTTTTAGAGAAATAAAGAAGATTGGTGTAGATGGGTGAGAGAATAAAAGTGTGTGTATAATTTGTGGTGGGGTGGGTGTGTAGGTGGGGGTAAATTAGTATAATTAGGAATTTTAATTTAATGATTAGTAGATATAAATAAATTAATGAGTGTCCAAAAATAGAATGGATACATTATGTGGGACGTCCCAAAAAGGAAAATAAGGTCAAATTATGTGGGACGGAGGGAGTACCATTTTCCACAATTGATTCTCCACTTGGAACCTCTATTTCCACTTATAGAGCAACGCCGAATTAACCTTCCTAATATCCCCAATTCCAAGCCCGCCAGCATCCTTCGGTTCTTGAATTCGAGCCAATTGAACCATTCTCAATTTTCTAAAATTGTCACCATCCCCCCAAAATAATCGTCTTTTTAGCTCTTCAATTTTATTCGCAATGCCGACAGAAATTCGGAAGATGGACATATAATAATTCGGCATCGCATTACAGACTGTTTTAATTAGGCAAGCTCTGTTTGCTTGCGATAGAGTTTTGCTTTTCCATTGGCTTAAAGATTTTTTAATATTCTCCAAAATAGGCCTCAACAGACTAATATTAAAATACCTTCCACCAATCAGAACCCCTAAGTACTTACATGGCCAATGTCCGACTCTGCATTCGAGCACTGATCCCCCTATTTCTAATTCGATTGATGTGACATTCACCCTAAATAATTGGCTCTTAGCCATATTTGCTTTAAGCCTGGTGCATATTCTAAAAATTTTCAACATCCATCTTATCACCAAAAGTTGGTCCATTTTGGCCTCTAAAACATTTATTGAATCATCTGCATATTGAATTAGGGAAATAGACACCCCTTGGTGACCCACCTTGACGCCCTTTATTAGACCCAAATCTGATGCTCGATTTATCAACATACTCAGGATCTCTGCCATAATTAGAAAAAGATAAAATGATAATGGGTCCCCTTGTCGGTTCCTCATTCCCATCTGGAAGATATCTGTCGATGACCCATTAATAAGTACCGCCGCTAACGCTGATCTGATGCATGTTAAAATCCAAGAAGTCCAGGTCTCACCAAAATTCGTCACTAGAATCATATTATCCAATGTTTACCAAGAAACACAATCATATGCCTTGGCCAAGTCGAATTTAATCATAAATATTTGAAACTTCTCTTTTCTTGCCCATTGGATGCATTCAGAAATAATCAAGATACAATCGAGAATATGTCTTCCCTTGATGAAGGCCATTTGCTGATACCCAATGATTTCTTTCAGAACTTCGCGTAGCCAAATGCTTAAGATTTTTGCCACTATTTTATACATACTTCCCAATAGCATGATTGGCCAAAAGTCCTCAAATGAAGTAAGAGACGAAACTTTCGGGATTAGAGTTATGAATGATGCCCCGAACCCAATTGGAATCCTCTTACTAAACTGAAATTGGTTCACCAATTCCATCATCCCTTTCTTCAATTGCTCTCAGAACCGTTTGATAAAGTTCAAGTTAAAACCATCTGGACCTAGAGTCTTATTACCCTGGCAGCTTTGGACCGACTTCCATATTTCCTCTGCATCAATTGGACGTCTCAACCACTTCTTAGATCTTCAGAAATTCGTTTTATCCCAAAAGAATTAACTCTGGGCCAGCTTTCTTCCTCAGCCTTGAAGTGTTGTTTTTAGTATTCAGTTGCCACCCTTTTAATGCCTAATAGATTTTCCCACGAGCTTTCATTCCACTCCACTTTCAATATATGATTTCTTGAGTATCTAACTTTACACCGCGAGTGGAAGTATCGAGTATTTTTATCTCCTTTCTGAATCCAAGTGTCTCTTGATTTTTGCTTCCAAATACTCTCCTTATTCGAATAAAGACGCCATAGTTCACATTTCTTCTGCCACCTATAATGAGCCCGACCTTCATCTCCCAGAGATTCCTCCACTTGCTTTTCCAAGACCTCAAGATCACTCGCAACCAATTTTATTTTTCTAGATAAATCACCCCCAGTATATCATTCCCACCCTTTTATAGCCCTTTTGAGATAAGATAATCTTTTTCCAAAGTCTTTGAGACTTTCACCCTCTATCAATAAATTTCCTCACTTCTCTTTCATTTTTTTACAGAAGTTGTTGTCTAGTAACCAGTAGTAAAAGAAATGAAATGATTTAGGACCCCAATCAATTACACTAACCTCCAACGATACCGGAATGTGATCTGATAAACAATTTTCTTTGCTCTTCTGCATCCAACCAATTTCCTCCAGAACCCAATCCACACTTAAGAGAAATCTAAAGCATCGAGAGAATAAACATCCTCTTTTACCACCCCATGTAAACTCACGGCCTGCCATCGGAAGATCAGTCAACTCCAAAGCATTAATAAAATCCAAGCGAGAAATTGAGTCATCGAAGTTTCCACTCCTCTCATCTTCATGAAGGGTCGAATTGAAATCTCCCCCTAAACACCACCAAATATCTCCTTGGTCCCATCTGGATTTAAGAAACCCCAAACCTCTCTTCTAGCACTGACCTTATTAGGAGCGTACACATTAACAAAATTAAGGGTTTCAGATTTACCAACTCTATTCCCTTTTATGCAGATGAAATTTCGATAAGTTTCTACCTATAGCAGATTCAGGATAGTTGGATCCCAACAAGATAGCAGACCGCCTGACAATCCTTCAGCCGGGACCCCATAATTGTTCATCCTTCTAAGACCGCAAATTGCTCTAATTGACCGATCTCCATATTCTGGAGCTTTAGTTTCTTGAATAAGGAGCATATCAGGGCATTCAACACTGATCATCTTAGCCACTGCACGTCTTTTAACACCTCATCACAAGCCCTTCGAATTCAAAGTTAAAATTTTCATTATAATCGATTATATCATAGACTGAAACCTCAATAGCTATCCCCGCTCTTTTACCATCGCCTTGTAACAGTCCCGAAGGAATCCTTTAACATCCACGACCTCCGCTCCCAGTTGGCACGCTAATTCAACTGTAGCTTAAGCTTCTTCTCTATTCACTATGTTCTCTTCATTAGACGGTGTCTGTTCCGACCTTGATCCAGAGCCCATGGATAATTTCGCCAACCGGTGGAAATCTGTTTGACCAACCAGCCTTTCCCTGTCAACCAATCTCTCTTGCTCCAAGGCATTACGCTCTATAGATACTATCCTACTTATTGGGGATCCGATGACAGCTCCACCATCAATGTCTACTTTTTAAAAAAAAAAACAAAAAAAACTATATAGCAGTGGTTGCGCCCAGGTGGGCTGCCTACGTACCCAAACGGGATCAAGCCATACGTAGTTCTAGATACAAGCTATACAGTCTCAGTAAAGCAAACAGACAAGACCAGCTAATAATAAGTATCTAGCCTAAAGCGGGACAAATACTAAGTGATCAAGTCTAAGTAACAACAATCAATGCTAAGTCTAGAATCAAAGAGTAGGGAGAGGCCTACTACCTGAAACGGAAGGACGGAAGGCCATCGGCGTCCGCTCAAAGGAGGCCTCGAAGCGACGAAGGAATATCTGAGGGGAGAAGTGTCGTCTCCATTGGGAGGGAAACCGCCAAAGTCGCTAAGGCATCTGCTATGCGGTTCCCCTCTCGATATATATGAGATATCCTCCAAGTCGAATCCCTAAGTCGTAGTCGAACATGCATAAGGCAGCACTGGAGAGTCCAGTGGCTCGTCTCGGAGGAGATCAGAGATATGCATGTCGTCGAGTCTGTCTCGATCCACAACAGCGTCAATCCTCGCTCAATCGCAATCCCTACGCCAGTCTGGATCGCTGTCAGCTCCGCTAAAGTGTTCGTCGCCCACGGAATCGGAGTCTGGAAAGCAATGAATACCGCCCCGGCTGAATCGCGGATAATACCAGCCGCACCCGTTGCGCCAGGATTGCCAAGAGAAGCACCATCGGTGTTAAGCTTGAACCATCCCGGAGAGGGTGCCTCCCATCGCACCATAATCGGGGGCCGAGGGGTCGGAGGGGGATATCGAAGTCCAAGCCTCTCGGCAATATGAAAGTCACCTGCCCAATGTCGACGTAAGAGGATCCTAGCTCGCCAAAGAGTCTGCAAATGTGTATGAATCCGCGAGATGATCCTCTCGGAGGATACCCGAAGCCCCCCTGTGCTTCGCGTCATTCCGAGCGGTCCAAAGGAACCAAAAAATCAACAACGGAACTTCGCCCTGATACTCTGAGGGTGCGCCGAGAAGAGCCGCTACGAAGACACAAGTAGATGCAGTGTATGTGTCCCCGGTAAAGATAGGCTGAACAGCGCTGCAAAGTGCTCCCACACTCGTCGGGCAACCCCCGAACCAATAAAGAGATGCGGGATAGTCTCCACCTCCGTCCGACAACAATGACATCGTGAGACTATCAAGATGCCATAATACTGAAGGACCATCAATGTCTACTTGACCATCAGCCATCGCCAACTTTGGTCCTATTACCTCCTCAACCAGCATCCCTCCTAATCTCTTCGACTTATCCTCCAGACTATCGCAAAAACCCTCACAAGGCCTAATAGGATCCAGCAAATCCGCCCCTGCCCCCCCACACCGCCCTTCCCGTATCCTACACAGCTCCATATCCTTAAAACACTCTCCGAGTTCGAAATGATTACCCCAATTGTCTTTACTATGCCCTAGCTTCTCTTTATGATTTCTACATATCTTATACTTCTTTTTACGCCTCTTCCAATTCCTTATCGTAACCCACCTAGAGCCCCCTTCCTCCAGCCAGAGTTGCTCCCTAGAAGCTAAAGAAGCATCATCTGAGCTCCAATCCCTACTCTATGGCATTGGACTATTATCCGTCATGATCGGGCTTTGGGAGGCCATTGCAGAAGGCGATAAAAGCCCCACCTTCCTTATGGCTTCCAACACTTGAATATCCTCCAAGGTCGCTAGCGGCCTGCATAATATTATTCTTGGGAGAAACCCCGGCTGCCTCTGAATCTTCTAACTTGTCACCTATCCCCCGGGATCACCTTTCGACAGGTCTTCTAAACGTCCAGAAAAAATATCTTTAGATTCCTTCCATAAGGCACCTACTTTGATTTTGTTATCCACATCTTCCACCTCAATATCTACCCAAGATCTCTTCCCATCGACCAAAACATGCAATCTCGTAGGCATTTTAACCTTTTTCCCGAGGAGCACAAGAATTTTAGCCGAGTCCATCCTCGCTCTATCACGAGTATCGTGATCCACACCCATAAATTCCCCATTCAGAAGCGAGACTTCTAAATGTGTGTGCTCTAAGGTGCATATATTTTGATAGTTTGGACTTAATATAAATTACATATAGCTTTATTTTTTTTATTAAATTTAAATAATACTTTCTTTAACCCCATATGAGATGTTTATTATTTTTATTTCGATTTGACACATATAAATTATATTTTTTAAAAAATAATTATATATTCAATTATATTTTAAATTTTATAATTTATTTTTTAAATCATAATTAAATTGTATAGTTTATCTTAGTTATTTATTTACTAATACAGTGAACTAGACACTTTATTTAGGACAATAGGAGTATTTTTATAATGTCTCTTAAGAAAAAATATTAATAAATTTTTAATTAAAATAATTATTCAATATAATATAAATATATTATTTGATAAATATAATAATAAATTTTATACTCCTTCCATCTAGATAATACATATTACTTCCGTCCCACATACCGTGTCTGCTACATTGTAGACATGGTATTTTAGAAAGAGTGTAATTAGTAGATAATTAAGAATGTATTAGTGAAAATAATTATCCTATAATATAAATAATTATAAATTAAAATTAAGATAACTAATTAGTTTAATTAAAATTTTTTAAAAAATAAAATTAAAAAGTTTAAAATGAGATTAAAGTGTATAATCATTTTCCAAAAAAGGAAAGTGATATGGTATGTGGGACGGATAGAAACGGCAATGTGGATATGATATGTGGGACGGATAGAAACGACAATGTGAATATGATATGTGAGACGGAGAGAATATTTTAGTACGAAGTTAAAAAATTTTCTCTCTATATTTTGATTTGATATTTAGATGTTAATGTAAATAAATATAAATTTGAATGTATTTATAATATATGGTCAGAATAAATTTACTAAAAAACCTAGTATTTGATTATATTAGAAAATTTCATTGATAGTAAAAATATTAATAAAAATAACAAACAAGTTAAGTGTAAAATAGAGACATTTTGTTGTGTTCTTTTTGCAATTTTTTTTCTAAAAAATTTAATATATTACATACTTTTGTTATTTTTATATTATATGTATAATTTTTTATATTTTACATAAAAAAAAATATCCTGAAAACTATTTTATAAAACAAACACACCCTTGAAATGTTAGAAATAATAAAAAAAATTATACTTTCTCCGTCCAACTTAAATTATCCACTTTAGTTAGGCACGGAATTTTAAATATTGGTAATTTGTAAATAATTAAGAAGTGTATTAGTAAAAATAATTATGATTTAATAAAAATAATTATAAATTAAAATAATAAATTATAAATTATGAATTTTAAAATGTGATTAAAGTGTATAATTATATTTCAAAAAAAGAAAATGACCAATTATCTTTGACGGACGAAAATAGAGAGTGAACAAATTAAGTGAGACAGATGAAGTAGTATTTAATACTCTCTTCGTTCCATTTCAATGGACTCTTTTTCCTTTTTTGTATGTCTCACTTCAATCGACACGTTTCTATTTTTAATACTTGATCTCCTCCGTCCAACTAGAAAGTATACATATTTCTATTTTGGGACTACAAAGTAAATATTTTATTAAATACCTTCTTCTTCTTTTTACAAATACTCTTACTTTACATCACATCGTTATTTTTACATGAAAAAACAAGGGCAAAAATATCATTACACTACTTTTAACTACTTATTATAATTAAAATACTATTAATTTTTAAACACCGTGCTAAAGGTAAATGTTGATTTTGTAAGTGGACGGAGAAAGTAAAATTTAATAAATCGAAACATACTTAAATCAACATCATATATCATGTAAGACCAGTACAAGACCCTTTATTACTATCTTTCTCTTCAATAAATAATATTTCCTTTGTGCCAATACAATAGTCTTGTTTACCATTTTTATCCGTCCCAAAACAATAGTTTCATTCCATAAACAATCATATCACTATAAAGCTACCCTTACTCTTTCATTATTATTACACAATTAACCGTACTAAATAGATATATTTTTTTATTTGTATTATTTAAAATTTATTATCTATAAAATGATATTCATATTATATATATTTTATTGAGATATAATATTTAAAATATTTAAATATATATTCTAAATTTATTTTAATCATATATATTCCCTCGTTCTGTCCGAAAGAGTTACATTTACTTTTTGCATATTGATTTTTAAATATTAATTATTATATCAAAATGTAGTAGAAATCAAGAAAAAATGACAAAAATATTTTTATTAGTATTTTAATATACTAATATAATGACATTTGTAAAAAAAACTTATACAAATATAAAAATATTTTTAATATTAAATACAATAATGCAAAATACAATTGTAACTCTTGGAAACAGACGGAGAAAATATTAATTATTGTTACTACTCAATAAAAATAAAAAAAGGAAAAAAGCATAATATCTTAGTTCAATACTCTCCCTCCTCGCGCCACATATGATTTTTTTTTTTTTATTTTACGTCCCACAAAAGATGATTCATTTCTATATTTGGTAAGTTTATCAACTTAAACATATTTAACAAATATAAATCAATTTAATTAAACTTCTAACATCTTATACGTAGGACTCACTCAAAATCGCTTTATTTGTATATTTTTTCTCAATTAACAAATACATTTATCAATCTTTAAAACTCCTCATGTTTTATAAAACTAATTTATTGTAATGATAAAGAAATATATATATTTTAATATTCATTTGTATTATATAAAATATTATTATGTACAAAATAATATTTATATTGTATATATTTTATTGGTATACAATTTTAAAAATATTTAAAATACTAATACTACTCGTATAAAAATAATACTTCCTCCGTCCACTTTGAAAGTTTACATTTATCTTTTACGTTATTTTACTTAATATTAAAAATATCATTATATTTGTATTATAAGAAATTAATAAAAGTATTTTTGTCTTTTTTTTACTTAATTTGTACTATATTTTGATATGATAATTAATATTTAAAGACTAATACGCAGAAAGTAAATATAAACTTTTAAAGTAGACGAAAGAAGTAAAATATTATAGTAACTTATTATTAATAATTTACCTAAAATATACTATCTCAAACAAAAGGCTCATCACTCGTGGGACTAATTAAATTTCATTATTTAAAAAAAAAATCCATTTCAACAGGGACGATAGAATATTATATTTTGTGCTAAATCAGTGTATACTTTCAAAAATTAAACTGTATCGAAAATTTCAAAATTATTGCATAATTAGAACTTAAATTTACAAAAATTCGTAGCCCAAAAAATATATATAGCTCTCTGTGCATGAATATATTATAATTTTGAAAATAATAATAAATAAATAAATAAAAATAAAAATAAATCTATACACAGAGTAACGAACGCCAAAATGGGTTAATCCCGGAAGGTACGGTACGGTACCTTACGGTGGCGGCGGGCGGCGATCTCCGCCGTTCACCGCCTTCTGTTTCCAGAACCTTCTGAGCACGCCTTCCATGGCGACGTCGAAGGCGTCGCTGGTAGATCCTAAGTCCGTCCCCGATCTCGTGTACAACAATCGCGGTAAGAATTCGATGATATTCTCCCTCATTCTCCTCACATCCTCCTTGCTCAATCTCTCCAAAACTTCCTTGATAATCGAAGATCGGTTTCTCACCTCGCCGTTATCGATAAACACCGAGTACCTCCTCGCGGCGGCCGGAAGATGCCATTCGTACTGAAACTCCGTGCTCAACCGCCAGAAAAACACCGGAATCGAGCCGGCGAGCATGCAATCGAACGTCGACCTCCGCGTGTAGCCGTCGCCTTTAGGCTGCAGGCAGAAATCGGAGTCGAGAAACGCCTCCAGTATCGTCGGAGCTCCGTCGTAGCAGTGCTCGACGGAGCAGTCGACGACGCGGCTGGATCCGGATTCGGATTTGGAATAGTTCATCAGAATGCCGCGGAAGTCGTTCCGGATCTTCTTCCGGGTGGCCCCGACGAAGGCGAAGAGATGGTGGCGGGGTCGGGTTCGGATCCAGTTCTGCCAAACGCGGATATCGGATTCGGATCTGGGGTGAAAGGACGTCGGATAGGGCACGCTGATCTCGAGGTGGTCCCAACGGCTGCGCTCCACCGCCAACCGGAGAACGTTTTTCATCAACGGCATGTAGATGAACTTCGTTCCCCACTCGCCGTCGTCGTCGCTCAGCCGCCGGAAGTCCCAAGTCAGCCGTCCGATCATCAGGAAGTGATCGGAGCCGTTAGATCTCCGCCACGGCGGTTGATTCTTCACCCAATCGAGCATCCGCGCGGCGTGGTAGTCGCGGTCCTTGGCGGTGTAATTGAACCAGAGAAATTTTCCGACGGCGAGCCCGGCGTAGAACGGTATGTAGAACGCCGTGGCTTTTTCCGGTGCCGCCGTGCGGCAGCGGTAGTGCTTGGCGCGGTCGTGGTAGATGACCTCGGCGGCGTACATATCGGTCCAGGACCACGCCGGCGTGAGGTTTTTAGGAACGACGGCGTCGAGTCCGGTCGCCGGAGGACCGAATCCGGCGTTGGAGACGGCGTTGCAGCGGGAGGACCACGGCTCCAGGTCCTGGCAGTTGTCGAGGAGGTCCTGGTTGAGCATCGGCGGCAGGTCGTAGACGTAAAGGCGGCCGTAGGGGCAGGCGTCGTCGGAGGTGAAGAATTGCCGGCGGGGATGCGATGGCGGCGGCGGAGGGGAGGCGCGGTTGAGGAAGAGGAGGATGAGGAGCTGGAGAAGGACGGTGGCGGAGAGCCAGGCGCATTGGTGGGCGGAGATGTGCGATTTGACGGAGTGGATGGTGGACTTGAGCTCGAGTCGCCGGCATTTTTGGTGGTGGTGCGCCGCCGGGTGCGGCGGAGGAGCGGCGGAGGGAAACATTAGGGAAATTGTGTTAGGTTAGGGAGAGATGATTGAGATTATTAAAGGGAAAGATTAATTAATTAATTAATTATTATTATATTAATTGTGAAAAAGAAGGCTGAAGGAATAAAGGGTTAGCGGAACGAAACGAAGACTAGACTACACTTGTCGTGCTAAAGGATTTATTATCTTATTCTTATTCGTTGGATTTAGGCTCACTTTAGACAAATTTATTTATTTTTAATTATGGAGTTTTAGAAAAATTAAATATAACAAAAATTAATATTATTGATGATTGTTTTAGTTAGAATCCATTTTCACATATGCACTACCCGTCATATATTAACTGATTTGATCCAATGTTGGTAAAAAAAATTAAATAGTATCAAACACTCCAAAATATTACTATCCACGTATAATTAGTACATAATTAAGAATTAAGAATGTATTAGTGAAAATAATTATTTTATAATATAAATAATTATAAATTAAAATTAAGATAATTAATTAGTTTAATTAATTTTTAAAAAAAAAATTAAAAAGTTTAAAATGAGATTAAAATGTGTAATCATTTTCCAAAAAAGGAAAGTGACATGGAATGTGGGACGTGCAGAAACGACAACGTGGACATAATATGTGGAACGGAGGGAGTATTCGTCTAAAACAATATAAGTCTTATATTTACATTTGACTTTAATTTTAAATGAATAGATTTAAATTATTTTAAATTTAATATACTTTATAATTAGAATATATTATCATTATTATTATTGCAAGAAATATTTGAAATTGTACAGTAAAAATATTTAAAATATTATGAGTTTTTATTATTATTATTATTATTATTATTGTAGGTTTAGGAGTAGGGTTTGGTTTAAAAAAATAAAGATTTCATTTAAGTAGAGATTTTTGAAATTTGGAAAAAAAATTTATTTACTAACGCAACTATTTATTTTACTACCTATTACAAATATCATTTCAATTACACTCACTTACACAAATATTGTTCAATTATAAATAAACTATAAAGAATAAATTTATTATTTAACCAAAAATATCGTCAATTATTATTAAAATATGTGTCAAAAACAAATATTACTTGTTGCCGAATGAAGAGAATATAATTATAATTATATGTGTTGGACATAAATTTTAATGAATATTAAAAATATTTTAGAAAATATATGAGTGAGTTAACTATGTGAGAAAATTTTGAATAGATTGAAAGTGTAGTGTGAAATATATGTAAATAAATAGAATTTTGGAAAATATAAATTAAAAAGAATAAAGAGTTACTAGTTATAAATCAAAAGTATATATTTTCTGTGAACAATTATATATATACTACCTCCATCTACCGTCAATCTATCCATTTGTATTTGGTGTTATTGTTTTTAATATTAAAAATATTCTTATATTTGTATAATTTTTTATACAAATATTATTACATTAGTAATATAAGACACTAATAGAAGTATTTTTGTCGTTTTTCCTTGATTTGTATAACGTTTTGATATAATAATTAACATTAAAAAATTAACATGCAAAAAGTAAATAGATAGATTGGCTGTAGACGGAGGTAGTATATAAATTTGACGGACGAATTGAGTAAAAAGTTAAGTATTTGATATAATATTTTATAATATAAAATAAATATTTTTTGGATATTCTGTAAAAAAAATATTGTTGATAAATAATATCAAAATTTTCGAACGATGTCTAGGTAAATTGAGTTCAAACATTTGAATTAAAATAATTATTTGATGCAATGTAAATAAGTGTGATACAATATTTTGAATGTAAAATTAATTTTTATTTTAATATAAAAATAATAAATAAATATTTAATTTAATTTTTTAATAAAAAAATTATGTTACTAGTGAAATATATTACTCCCTCCGTCCAAAAAAAAAGTATACAATTACTTTTGGCGCGGTGTTTAAGAAATAATAGTATTTTAATTATAGTGGGTAGTTAAAAGTAGTGTAATGACATTTTTGCCCTTGCTTTTTGGTGTAAAAGTAATGATGTGATGTAAAGTAGGGGTATTTGTGGAAAAAAATAAGGTATTTAATGAAATGTTTACTTTGTAATTGGACATCCCAAAATAGAAACATGTATACTTTCTAGCTGGACGGAGGGAGTATAATATTGTATTTAATAATTATTTTATGTAAAAATGAACATGTGTTATAGATACACCTTATAATGATAAGATGTGTCACTAGTAATACTAAAATATGGATGTGTTTGTGTCTTTTTTATATCAATGTATTTATTATATTAAGTATGACAAATTATGCCCATAATATTAAAAATAATATTTTTAATTAAGTTAATAATTTTTTTAATGAATTGATATATTATATATTATATTAGTATATGTATATATTATATTTTTATAATATTTATTGAGAATTATATTACTAAAAAATTATTAAATAAACAAGTTTTACTGTGTATATAACGATAGAAAAAAAAATTTAAAAAAAAAAAGTAATTACATTACTCCCGGTAAGGAGATAGTACATATATATAATTGGAATTATATATAAATAAGTAATAACAGTGATATATTGAAAGACTTGTTTTTCTAGTGTGTAAAATATAATACTCTCTCCCTCCCAAAAGAATTGTTTTATTTTTCCATTTTTGTCCGTTCCAAAACAATTGTCCTGTTTCCTTATTTAGTAACCGTGGTCCCCATTTTATAACAAAATTATTCATATTTTTCCAAATTATCCATAATTATTACTCTAAACTATTTTTTAAAATCCTTCAAAAAGTGAGGACATTTTAGTCTTTTACATTCTATTTTATACTCACTTTCAATTAAATATTATTATTCCTTAATTCTCGTGTCAACTCCCAACAAGACACTTCTTCTGGGACGGAGGGAGTATTATATATATTGAAAAAAAAAATTGCTAAAAGTATTTGATCTGTATTTTTTATATTTCATTTTTTTTGTATTTTCATGGTAAATTTTATTATTTTAGAAAATATTTACTCCCTCCGTCCCATAAGTAAATATCTATTTGCTTTTTGCACGTAGTTTTAAAAATATTAGTATTATATTGGAATATAGTATGAATAAAGTAGAAATAACTAAAATAACCTTATTAGTATGTGTGATATAAAGGTAATAACATTTGTGTAATATATTGTAAGTTGTAAGAGAATTTGTAATGTTAGGTAGATAGTACAGTCATTAAAAAAGAAAATAAATACTTTGTTATGGGACGAATTAAAATGAAAAATTAGATACTTTGTTATGGGACGGAGGGAGTATCATTTATTTATTTATTTATTTATACTAATAATATATTATATAAAATATTTTTTATTGAAAATATTACCATTTTTGTTTTATAGTTTTATATAGTTTTTAATATATACTTTTTATATTTTTAAAATAAAAACACACTATTTTATTCTTATAAAATATTTTAAAATAATAAAAATTAATTTATTTGAACAACATCACAATTTTCAAAACTATATTCATAATTTTAATAATTAATACTAAAATTTCAAAAAAAAAAAAAAGAGAAACCTATATAACTATCTACTAAATTTTTTGTTTAATTAGAAATTGGTTTTACATTTTAAATTTTAATTGTATTTTAAATAATAGTTTGAATACAATATCTAAAAAGTAATACTCTCTCCGTCATTCAAATCTATGTTCACTTTTCGTTTAGGATTGTTATAAAAAAATATTCTCGTTTTTTTTTTAAAATAAAAAATAATTATATTTTTATATTTTTTTTACTATAAAAAAAATAACAATTATTATTATTTTTATTAAAATTCGTGCCTAATCAAATAAGCACATATTTGAACGACGTAGGGAATATATTTATATAAAAATTGGTGATAATGCATTTTAATAAGATTTCAAATAAAGAGCCCAATATACGATTAAATAAAGCTACAATTTTTCTTTTTGTTTTTATTATATATTTCTTGTCACATCAAATATATATATATAGTCATATACAAATTTATATACTCTCTCCGTCCACTTACAATGTTTATATATTTCTATTTTGGGACGTTCAATTACAAAGTTAATATTTCATTAAATACTCTTACTTTACATCACATCATTACTTTTACACAAAAATAGCAAGGGCAAAAATGTCATTACACTACTTTTAATTACTCACTGTAATTAAAATACTATTATTTCTTAAACACTGCGCCAAAAATAAATATAAACTTTGTAAGTGGACGGAAGAAATATATTATTGATCAGCATGGATCAAATGTTTGATTAAATCATTTGAATTATGTTAAATAAGCGATATTATTTTTATCATTTTAGTTCGTTTAAATCAAAAAATTTAATTATTTATTTTTTTTAAAAAAAGTAATTCTCACTTAAATATTAAAATATATATACTTTTTACATATAATGAACATTGCATTGTTTTATTATATTATACATTTATAAAATATTAATTTATTTTAATTCGCAAACAAAAGTCAAACAAAAAATTTAAGGGAGACGTATTAGTTATATAATTTAATGATGCAAAATAAAATATTATATTCAAAACTTTCAACATAATTCAGCATAATACAATTCACCATCCCACTCATATTTATCTTGTATTATAATAAAAATAATATACATACTAATACAAATATATGATTAACTTTTATATAAACTATACTTCAATAAATTCTTAGTATAAATGAAGCTTATGTACTTGCAGATGAAAAATTTACTAAAATATTTTTATATATTTTCACTCGTCAATAAAAAAAAATACTACTATCTTTCATTATAAATATATATGATTTATATTTTTTTTTAAAAAAAAAAAAACACATTTTTAGATGACTGAAGCATTATTATTTTAAATATCCAACAACAATATACATATATATATATATGTGGATGAGAAGGTGTTATAATACTCTTTTGTAACTTTTTAAAATTATTTTCTATAAAAGTTTGTTTGTTTTTCTGTTTCAAATAAAAAAAATACTATTCCCTCTGTCCCACGTACTGTATCTGCTACACTTTAGATGTTGTATTTTAGAAGGAGTGTAATTAGTAGATAATTAACAGTGTATTAGTGTAAATAATTATTCGATAATATAAATAATTATAAATTAAAATTAACATAACTAATTAGTTTA